TGAGGTTAGATGCAGAATGTCTTGTTCAAAGAGGAAACTGGATTTCCCATGTCAAATTTGGATAGATGTCAATGTGTGTACTGCTGTAAGGGTGAATGTTACTCTCAGGCATGGGTTTTGGTTTTGGTGGAGTTTCTGTGTTATGTTATGGGGAGGAAATACACCATGTTAAAAAGCCCCACTCATTGTCATTCAAGGAACTTGTTGCCTGTTTCATATCATGACACCATCATGGCTCCAGTCATTCGGCCATTTCTTCAACGTCATGGCCAAGGTGTCATTCTGCAGCAAGATAACACTTGACCACATAAATCATGGGTTGTTCAGCAGTTCATCCAACAGAACAATGTTAACATTCTTTCTTGGTTCGCTAAAGCGGCATTCACACTTGCGTTAGTAGCTGTAGTTATCCTTAGGGATATCAACGTAGCCAAAATAACACTAACGTGTCGAAATATGTCAAAAAAAGCTTGACTACGTTGAACAACGTTTCTTTATCAAAGTGTTACCAGGGAAATGTCCGTCAAATTACAGACAAGTACGTTGTACTAGAGTGAACAACATTGAAGTACGAAAAGGGTGCTACACATTATCAACGTTTTCCTACGTTAAGCTCCTTTAGACTACAGTAAAGTACAGTAGCTAGTACATTCAGGTACGTTGAACTACATTTAGAAGCCTATCATTACGTTAAACTAGGGTAAACAACACCCATTTCGCGCAAAAAGTACAGGGTATATAAAGAGACAGGTGGTTTTCATCATTCTTTCACTTTTGAATTCCTGACAAATCACATATATATTTCATTCCTTTCGTCATTTTGGTCTTAGTTAGGGTTAGCTTATCTAAAGTCTAGCTATGAGGAAAACAAGAAACAGGAGAGGTCAAACCCCAGCTTCTGACATTGCTGAGGTTACTGAGGTTCATGAGAATCCCCAGGTTCCAGATGTTTCTGGGGTTGCTGAGGATCCGATCTATGAAGACTTGCAGGATATTGATAAAGTTGATGCCACTCCCCCAGATCCAGAAAGCTCTCAGAGTTGCAATGTCCAGGAAGAGGCAGCTGGCGCAAGTACAGGCAGAAGCGAGGACTCAAACAAAGGCACATGTACAGCAACAACAGTCCCAACCTCATCCACATCTGCTATCTCAGACGCAAACACAGCATCAGCAGCCACACACCATCCCTCCTGTCACATCATCCACCAGTGGGGACTACCAGATGGCTTCAAATATTGCGGTTTCACAGCAGCAACAGTGCCCAACGGGATGGATGCCACGCTGGCAGCATGTTTATCAACCACTGCCTGGAGGATCAAAGACTGTTGATGCTTCCCTGTATTTTTATTTTGTATGTTTGTTTGTATTTTAAACATGAAGTTGAAATGAAAAATACAAATATGATGTTGTTGATATGATATGAAATGAAAACAGCCAAATTATTAACTAAGAGAGTTGTGCTAACAAACCAAAACAACCTGCTTGTTCCTATTAAAAGGCCATTTGAAACAAATTCTGTAAATAAGGTCCTATTTTCAAATATAGATAGAATCTAAATTGAAAATAGATGTTGGAAGACCCTCATTTCAATTAAAGGTGAAGCTTATATATAGTCAAAGCTGCTTTACTGTATTTAATCGGTCAAATCTTACCCTTTAAAGGTTTTCAAATATTTTCATAGAGACGTCTTTGCTTAGTATTATCGCAAAATCTGAGATCATTTTGTTGAAATTTAAGGGATGAAAAGGAGGGTCAAAACTATTGGGTCGTACTCTACATTTTGGCTGCAAAGATTAATTTTGATACCTTATAGCACGTGCAAAAAGGGTGTGTGGTCATAATAAAAATGACTATTTGTTTCGATCAAAAACTCGAACATGACAATTTTACTACTTAATGAGGTAAATAGTTTCATTTCATGAAGAAAAATCAGATGATGAATTTAGTCTGAAACCAAACAGTAATGCAGCTTTAATGCGCCATATAGTTAATAAAGTTTTATTTTGACTACATGCAGCTCCTTTGGTTAATGCGTTGGCATAATCAAATGTAACATTCTGATAAAGATAAAATTTCAAAGCAATTGGTCTGTCCAAATCGCCTTTATCTTGTTAAGTTATAATATGCCTTTATTTAACATGAGAGTTTCTTTCAAAATTATTAATCCCAAGTACCATATTTTGAAAAGAAAGGTGTGAAATTACTTTGTAAATTATATATTTTTCTAACATCATTATTGTTTGTTCTTGTTTAGTCTTGAATATAACAAAACTACAAGGACACAAACAAATACATATGCACAGGTCTGATATTTTAATGAAAGCTGGTACAAGGGCATTAACTTAATAGAGTAAAACATGGTTCTTCACCTTGCCCTTAAAATGAACGTTCAACAACAATTCAGTATTGGCGAAGATGTTTATCCTGCCATGGAACCGACCCTGCGGATGAACAAAGGTAATGTTTCAGGTAAATCCGCTGCTTCTTGGCTGCTACTGTGTCACGGTTACCCCAATAAGTGTGATTCATGTCCTCCAAGTTGGCTGTGTCTCTCCAGGCACCAGGCACCAGGTACCAAGTTGTAGTTCACATCTTCCTTGTCCAGGATCATGACATCATTGGAGGGGTTCCTTTCTCTCAGGTAGTTGTGCAGCACCACACACGTTCTCACTATCAAAGATGCAGTATCTACCTGAACCTGGAGAGTGCTAAGCAGACACCTGAATCTGTTTGCGAGTAACCCAAAGGCTTTCTCAACCACACGGCGAGCTCTTGAAAGGCAATAATTGAATACTAGCTCATCGTGTGCCAGTCCCTGGCGAGAGAATAGTTTCATTAGCCAACTCTGCACGACAAAGGCATCATCTGCAATGATGTAATAAGGTATATCAACATCATCAAATGGTAAAGGCTCTGCATCTGGTATAGCCAAGATTCCCTGTTGTATTGATTGGTGGAGGGCACAGTGGTTCCATATTTGGCTATCAAAGCTAGACCCAACATCTCCAACCTGAATCCATCGGAATTTGTCATCTGCATCAACCAGGCCCCTTAATACAATGGAGCAGAACCCCTCGTAGTTATTATACGTAGAGCCTGATAGCGAGGGCTTTTTGATGGCGATATGCTTGCCATCAAGAGCACCCAAGACATGTGGAAATTGCCATCTTCCTTGAAATCGCTCTGTCACTTGTAATCTTCATAACCTCGGCTTCCATGACATCCAAAATAGCCTTACACACGGAAACAAGAATCCCTGAGATGGTATTGTGAGCAAGTCTGAAATTAAACATCAGTGAGTGGTATGAGTCTCCAGTAGCCAAGAACCTTAATGTCAAAGCCAGCTTGAGTCCAGGAGACACAGGATCACGCCATAGGGTCCTATTCTTGGTGAGACAGTCCTCTACCCTTGCTAACAGTTCATGGAATGTGGCCATGTCTTAGCGCAGAAAGTTCATGAAAGCTTCAGGATCCTCAAGTTGTAATTCTTCCATGAGGGCGTCATACTGACCATGGATTGATCTGCGCAGAAGCCAGTCACGAGCCCACCATCTTCTCTGTTTTCTCTGCTTCTCTTTGTCCTCTTCAAAATGCATGAGACACTGGGCATAACATAGCAGCTCTTTGTTGACAACAGCCCAGAACCAAATCATATTTACTCTTCTATCACTAATGTTGTGTCTGCAGAGTTCAGACAACAAATGATCAGACTGATGTTATCATGGGTTATAAATATCACGTGTATCAATCAATACTTGCTGCCTAGTTATCTGTAGTTTATCTTAGTTTAACTTATTTAAACGTATTGTACATCTGCTAAGAGCACACCTAGCAAGACGTGATATAGCATTTTCAAAACGTAGATTACTGTACAAATACTTAGTTCACTGTACTGAAACGTTTTTTAATGTCAATAAGGTAAATGTAGTGTAGTATAACCGGGTTATGTGAAGTTAAATGAAGTTAGACTGACTTGTGCCCCTACTAAGATGTAGTTTACCATGTTCGTAGATATTTTATGCCTTGATAACTACGATGTTTGTTAAGTTTGGCTACAGTAGACTATGGTTATAACTACGGCAAACTACATCTAACTACATTAAACTAAGTTACTACTACGTTAACAAAAATGTCAGCTTACGTGGCTCTCTGTTGTGCATGCATGCACAACAGATAAATCCCTAAGTATGTTTTTTTCACGTTAATTGCTACGTTATGAACACAGATAGCCACGAACAGCTACGATAAACCACGTATGGATACGTTACACTACGTAAGATTTTTCTACGCATAAGTACGTTATTTAACGCAAGTGTGACTTAGGCTTAAGTCACCAGACATTTCTCTGGAAATACCAATGTGCTGATGTCCTGTATGCAGTTTGTGGCACCACATTCATGGAGGTGTCAGTACACTCGAGCTGTCCTATCTACCTCAATGCAGCATAAAAATGTTGACTCATCGCTGAACAGAACAGGGTGCCGTTATACAAAGCGATCTTAGCGCTAAGGTGATTGTAACTCTCTTACCTTAACATAGACTTACGACAGTCGTAGCGCTAAGGTTATTTTGTACAACGGCACCCAGTTCTCCATCACTGGTTCGGCCATCCTGAACATGCTTAACACCACTGACATCTCAGTTGTTACATCAAAACAACACCTCTGGCTGTTTGGAGAATGCTGTTTTTCCACAAATGACATTGTTGTATGAAGCAGACCCAAGTCAGTCACTTGCTTCCAATTGTCCAACAGCATCCCGTTTCCTTCCGTTCTCCTTGGAAGGACTTTGCAGTTGAGCAAAATGTTTTGGTAACCAAGAGCCCCCCATTTTACAGGGCTATCCAGATTGTTCAGCATACACGTTCAGCACATGCTTGTGCTCTTATCCCTGGATTCTCATGTAGTGTTGCTTTTCTGTATTGTTACATTTTGGTCATGTATTTGATCATTCCTGCATATTGATAATTCTGACAATGACACTTAATTTATTTATTTCAGGATCCTCGATTCAACAGTGATATTGATGTCCAGATGGCCTACAAGACCAGGAGTATACTCTGTATGGCCATCAAGGACAGTGATGGGGAGGTCATAGGGGTAGCACAGGCCATTAACAAAATCAGTGTCCGAGACGAACCATTTGATGAACATGATGAAAAGGTGAGAGGAGGGAAATTTTCGCCTGGTAGTCTTATGAGTGCTTTACCTCTGTATTTGTGCAAAATTGTGACATGACGTATTGAAGCACCAAACATGGACAGTTCATGTAGACATATAGCTTGGAGACTTAGTGTCAATAGTTATCAATTATATTTTCATGGTCTACAAAATATGAAAAAATTTATGAAGGTGAATAGCATATGTTATATCACATTTGAAACTATTCCTTCACACTTGGTAGCTGTACATACGATCTTGCTCACATTAATTCTGATAATGCTTCTTTTCATTCTAATAGATAGGAGAGCCTGTAATTACTCATCACTTTTTTCAAGTACAAATGCCAAAGTCGAACATGATCAAACTTTCATACATACATCAGGGAATTTGACACATCCAACCATCAGGTTCGACTGTATATAGAGAATTAAACCAAGTGTCTTTTTATGCCAATTATATCAAAATAAGTTGATTAAATTGGCAGAATTCAGAGGCTGGACTGTAGACAACTTATCAACACAGCTAACTCCTGTTGCCCATCTACTGGACTGTAGACCACTTATCAACACAGCTAACTCTGGCTGTACATTTACTGGACTGTAGACCACTTATCAACACAGCTCACTCTGGCTGCCAATCTACTGGACTGTAGACTACTTATCAACACAGCTAACTCTGGCTGCCCATTTACTGGACTGTAGACCACTTATCAACACAGCTAACTCCTGTTCCCCATCTACTGGACTGTAGACCACTTATCAACACAGCTAACTCCTGTTGCCCATCTACTGGACTGTAGACAACTTATCAACACAGCTAACTCCTGTTGCCCATCTGCTGGACTGTAGACAACTTATAAACACAGCTAACTCCTGTTGCCCATCTGCTGGATTGTAGACAACTTATCAACACAGCTAACTCTGGCTGCAAATCTACTGGACTGTAGACCACTTATCAACACAGCTAACTCCTGTTGCCCATCTACTGGACTGTAGACAACTTATCAACACAGCTAACTCTGGCTGCCCATCTACTGGACTGTAGACCACTTATCAACACAGCTCACTCTGGCTGCCCATTTACTGGACTGTAGACCACTTATCAACACAGCTAACTCTGGCTGCCCATCTACTGGACTGTAGACAACTTATCAACACAGCTAACTCCTGTTGCCCATCTACTGGATTGTAGACAACTTATCAACACAGCTAACTCTGGCTGCAAATCTACTGGACTGTAGACCACTTATCAACACAGCTAACTCCTGTTGCCCATCTACTGGACTGTAGACCACTTATCAACACAGCTAACTCTGGCTGCCCATCTCCTGGACTGTAGACAACTTATCAACACACCTAGCTCTGGCTGCCCATCTACTGGAGTGTAGACAACTTATCAACACAGCTAACTCTGGCTGCCCATTTACTGGACTGTAGACCACTTATCAACACAGCTAGCTCTGGCTGCCCATCTACTGGACTGTAGACAACTTATCAACACAGCTAGCTCTGGCTGCCCATCTACTGGACTGTAGACCACTTATCAATACAGCTAGCTCTGGCTGCCCATCTACTGGAGTGTAGACAACTTATCAACACAGCTAACTCCTGTTGCCCATCTGCTGGACTGTAGACAACTTATCAACACAGCTAACTCTGGCTGCACATTTACTGGACTGTAGACCACTTATCAACACAGCTAGCTCTAGCTGCCTATCTGCTTGACTGTAGACAACTTATCAACACAGCTAACTCTAGCTGTCCATTTACTGGACTGTAGACCACTTATCAACACAGCTAACTCTGGCTGCCCATCTACTGGACTGTAGACAACTTATCAACACAGCTAACTCCTGTTGCCCATCTACTGGACTGTAGACCACTTATCAACACAGCTCACTCTGGCTGCCAATCTACTGGATTGTAGACAACTTATCAACACAGCTAACTCTGGCTGCCCATCTGCTGGACTGTAGACAACTTATCAACACAGCTAACTCTGGCTGCCAATCTACTGGACTGTAGACCACTTATCAACACAGCTAACTCCTGTTGCCCATCTACTGGACTGTAGACCACTTATCAACACCGCTAACTCCTGTTGCCCATCTACTGGACTGTAGACAACTTATCAACACAGCTAACTCCTGTTGCCCATCTACTGGACTGTAGACCACTTATCAACACAGCTAACTCCTGTTGCCCATCTGCTGGACTGTAGACAACTTATCAACACAGCTAACTCCTGTTGCCCATCTGCTGGATTGTAGACAACTTATCAACACAGCTAACTCTGGCTGCAAATCTACTGGACTGTAGACCACTTATCAACACAGCTAACTCCTGTTGCCCATCTACTGGACTGTAGACAACTTATCAACACAGCTAACTCTGGCTGCCCATCTACTGGAGTGTAGACAACTTATCAACACAGCTAACTCCTGTTGCCCATCTGCTGGATTGTAGACAACTTATCAACACAGCTAACTCTGGCTACAAATCTACTAGACTGTAGACCACTTATCAACACAGCTAACTCCTGTTGCCCATCTACTGGACTGTAGACAACTTATCAACACAGCTAACTCTGGCTGCCCATTTACTGGACTGTAGACCACTTATCAACACAGCTAGCTCTGGCTGCCCATCTACTGGACTGTAGACAACTTATCAACACAGCTAGCTCTGGCTGCCCATCTACTGGACTGTAGACCACTTATCAACACAGCTAACTCTGGCTGCCCATCTACTGGACTGTAGACCACTTATCAACACAGCTAGCTCTAGCTGCCTATCTGCTGGACTGTAGACAACTTATCAACACAGCTAACTCTGGCTGCCCATCTACTGGACTGTAGACAACTTATCAACACAGCTCACTCTGGCTGCCCATCTACTGGACTGTAGACAACTTATCAACACAGCTAACTCTGGCTGCCCATTAACTGGACTGTAGACAACTTATCAACACAGCTAACTCTGGCTGCCCATTTACTGGACTGTAGACCACATATCAACACAGCTAACTCCTGTTGCCCATCTGCTGGACTGTAGACCACTTATCAACACAGCTCACTCTGGCTGCAAATCTACTGGATTGTAGACAACTTATCAACACAGCTAACTCTGGCTGCCCATCTGCTGGACTGTAGACAACTTATCAACACAGCTAACTCTGGCTGCCAATCTACTGGATTATAGACCACTTATCAACAGAGCTCACTCTGGCTGCCAATCTACTGGACTGTAGACCACTTATCAACACAGCTAACTCCTGTTCCCCATCTGCTGGACTGTAGACAACTTATCAGCTAACTCTAGCTGCCCATCTGCTGGACTGTAGACAACTTATCAACACAGCTAACTCCTGTTGCCAATCTACTTGACTGTAGACAACTTATCAACACAGCTAACTCTGGCTGCCCATCTGCTGGACTGTAGACCACTTATCAACACAGCTAACTCTGGCTGCCCATTAACTGGACTGTAGACCACTTATCAACACAGCTAACTCCTGTTGCCCATCTGCTGGACTGTAGACAACTTATCAACACAGCTAACTCTGGCTGCCCATCTACTGGACTGTAGACAACTTATCAACACAGCTAACTCTGGCTGCCAATCTACTAGACTGTAGACCACTTGACAACACAGCTAACTCCTGTTGCCCATCTGCTGGACTGTAGACAACTTATCAACACAGCTAACTCTGGCTGCACATTTACTGGACTGTAGACCACTTATCAACACAGCTAGCTCTAGCTGCCTATCTGCTGGACTGTAGACAACTTATCAACACAGCTAACTCTGGCTGCCCATCTACTGGACTGTAGACAACTTATCAACACAGCTAACTCCTGTTGCCCATCTGCTGGACTGTAGACAACTTATCAACACAGCTAACTCTGGCTGCCCATGTACTGGACTGTAGACAACTTATCAACACAGCTAGCTCTGGCTGCCCATTTACTGGACTGTAGACCACTTATCAACACAGCTAACTCTGGCTGCCCATTAACTGGACTGTAGACCACTTATCAACACAGCTAACTCTGGCTGCCCATCTACTGGACTGTAGACCACTTATCAACACAGCTAACTCTGGCTGCCCATCTACTGGACTGTAGACAACTTATCAACACAGCTAACTCCTGTTGCCCATCTACTGGACTGTAGACCACTTATCAACACAGCTAACTCCTGTTGCCCATCTACTGGACTGTAGACCACTTATCAACACAGCTAACTCTGGCTGCCCATCTACTGGACTGTAGACAACTTATCAACACAGCTAACTCTGGCTGCCCATCTACTGGACTGTAGACCACTTATCAACACAGCTAACTCCTGTTGCCAATCTACTTGACTGTAGACAACTTATCAACACAGCTAACTCTGGCTGCCCATCTGCTGGACTGTAGACAACTTATCAACACAGCTAACTCTGGCTGCCCATCTACTAGACTGTAGACAACTTATCAACACAGCTAACTCTGGCTGCCCATCTACTGGACTGTAGACCACTTATCAACACAGCTTACTCTGGCTGCCCATTTACTGGACTGTAGACCACTTATCAACACAGCTAACTCTGGCTGCTCATCTACTGGACTGTAGACCACTTATCAACACAGCTAACTCTGGCTGCCCATTAACTGGACTGTAGACCACTTATCAACACAGCTAACTCCTGTTGCCCATCTCCTGGACTGTAGACAACTTATCAACACAGCTAACTCTGGCTGCCCATCTGCTGGACTGTAGACAACTTATCAACACAGCTAACTCTGGCTGCCAATCTACTAGACTGTAGACCACTTATCAACACAGCTAACTCCTGTTGCCCATCTGCTGGACTGTAGACAACTTATCAACACAGCTAACTCTGGCTGCACATTTACTGGACTGTAGACCACTTATCAACACAGCTAGCTCTAGCTGCCTATATGCTGGACTGTAGACCACTTATCAACACAGCTAACTCTGGCTGCCCATCTACTG